ACGGCCCGCCGGCGGCCGCCGCCATCTTCGCGCGCGCGCGCCCCAGCCCCGCCCCCAGACGCCGCACCCACGTGACAGTTCGCCTCCGGACGGGCTGTGGATGGTGCTTTTTCATCACGTGACGGCGGGCGGGGCCAAGATGGAGACGCCCGGAGAGGTGAGGAACCCGCGGCGAGAGCAGCCGGGGCTGTGAAGCGAGCGGCCGAGTGGCAACGTTTCCGTCCTAGGTGCGAGGCGGTGGAGGATAGCTGGGCGCCCGTTCCCAAGCCTCAGAAAGTGGGTTGCCTACAGTGGAGCTTCCCTCCTCGCAGCTGGAGAACGGAAAGAGAAGGTGCTGGCTGTGTGAAACTGCCGCTGTCGTCTTGGCGGGGCTTGAGGGACCCAGAGGCCAAGGCGTAGCTAGTCACCCCGGTTTCCCCGGAGCCCCAGGTCTAGAGACATGACCCGAGAGCACGCTCCCCCGGCCTCGGGGAACGGGGCTCCGCTGAGCGGGTCGGTGCTGGCGGAGGCAGCAGTAGTGTTCGCAGTGGTGCTGAGCATCCACGCAGCCGTGTGGGACCGATACTCGTGGTGCGCCGTGGCTCTCGCGGTGCAGGCCTTCTACGTCCAGTACAAGTGGGACCGGCTGCTACAGCAGGGAAGCGCTGTCTTCCAGTTCCGCATGTCCGCAAACAGTGGCCTGCTGCCCGCATCAGTGGTCATGCCTTTGCTCGGACTGGTCATGAAGGAGCGCTGCCAGGCAGTGGGGAACCCATACTTCGAGCGCTTTGGAATTGTGGTGGCAGCCACTGGCATGGCAGTGGCCCTCTTCTCTTCAGTATTGGCGCTGGGCATCACTCGCCCAGTGCCCACCAACACTTGTGTCATCTCAGGCTTGGCTGGAAGTGTCATCATTTATATCATGAAGCACTCACTGAGTGTGGGCGAGGTGATCGAGGTCCTGGAGGTCTTGCTGATCTTCGTCTACCTCAACATGATCCTGCTGTACCTGCTGCCCCGCTGCTTTACCCCTGGAGAGGCACTGCTTGTATTGGGTGGCATCAGCTTCATGCTTAACCAGCTCATCAAGCGCTCTCTGACTGTGGTGGAAAGCCAGGGAGACCCAGTGGATTTCTTCTTGCTTGTGGTGGTGGTCGGGATGGTGCTTATGGGCATCTTCTTCAGCACCCTCTTTGTCTTCATGGACTCAGGTACCTGGGCTTCCTCCATCTTCTTCCACCTCATGACCTGTGTGCTGGGCCTTGGTGTGGTCCTGCCCTGGCTGCACCGGCTCATCCGCAAGAACCCCCTGCTCTGGCTTCTTCAGTTCCTCTTCCAGACAGAGACCCGCATCTACCTCCTAGTCTACTGGTCTCTGCTGGCCACCTTAGCCTGCCTGGTGGTGCTGTACCAGAATGCCAAGCGGTCATCTTCTGAATCCAAGAAGCACCAGGCCCCCACCATTGCCCGGAAGTATTTCCACTTCATTGTGGTGGCCACCTACATCCCGGGTATCATCTTTGACCGGACACTACTCTATGTAGCTGCCACCATATGTCTGGCAGTCTTCATCTTTCTGGAGTACGTGCGCTATTTCCGCATCAAGCCCCTCGGCCACACTCTGAGGAGCCTCCTGTCCCTTTTCCTAGATGAACGAGACAGTGGACCACTCATCCTGACACACATCTACCTGCTCCTGGGCATGTCTCTTCCCATCTGGCTGGTCCCCAGACCCTGCACACAGAAGGGCAGCTTGGGGGGAGCAAGGGCCCTAGTCCCCTATGCGGGGGTCCTGGCTGTGGGTGTGGGCGACACAGTGGCCTCCATCTTTGGCAGCACCATGGGGGAAATCCACTGGCCTGGAACCAAGAAGACTTTTGAGGGGACCATGACCTCTATATTTGCCCAGATCATTTCTGTAGCTCTGATCTTAATCTTTGACAGTGGAGTGGACCTAAACTACAGTTATGCTTGGATTTTGGGTTCTATCAGCATCGTGTCCCTCCTAGAAGCATACACTACACAGATAGACAATCTCCTGTTGCCTCTCTACCTCCTGATATTGCTGATGGCCTAGCTGCTGCGCAGCAGTGTTGGAGGAAAGAGGGACATGGGGAGGATGAATGGTCCCCACAGCCGCCAGCCACTTGGGCATGAAGAGCCAAGGGGTGAGAAGCAGATTTGATTTTTCAGTTGATTCAGATTCAAAATAAAAATCAAAGCACTCCTGGTTTTAGTTTTGCTGATATTTAAAAAGAAAAAAAAGGCTTAAAGAGAACACAGTAACACAAAGAACTTGAGTGTGGTTTAGGACACCGGCCGCCCCACCCCCACCCCCGCTTCATCTTGTGATCCCTGGGGGTGGATCCCGATTGGACCCTGGAGGGAGTAGAGTGTAATGGTCACCACCTCAGGTTCTGGAGTCAAACTAACCTGGTCAGAGTCCTTGGCAGCACTATTTAACTGTGCAAGTTGCTTAACCACTCTGGACCTCAGTTCTCCTGTCTGCAAGATGGGAATAGTAAGAGCCTGCACCTCACAGGTGAGGATCCAGAGAGGTGAGGTGTGTGAAGGGTCCAGCCCACAGCCCATGCATAATGAACAAATAGTAAGGGTAAGTGCCATTATTAGCCAAGGCCAGCCCTCGTGTCAGCAAAAAGCCAGGCAAGCCAAGAGGTTTTATGGGTTGTGCTTGGAGACCAGCATGACCTTACTCCCCTGGCTACATTTGCAGGAGAACCCAAGAGGAAAAGAGCCAAGCACATGTGCTTTCTCCCCTTTGGGCTGAAGGGGAGAGGTGAAATCGTCTGTTGCTTGCATGGAAGGGCTGGACGAAGAATATCAGGCCTGGGCCGATTTCCTGTTTCAGCCAACTGCACTCCTGCCTCAAGGCCTCTGCTGCCTGGCTGAGCAGTGCTGATGAAGGTCAAGCTGGATGGCACAGGGTCCTTAGCAGGGGTCCCTCCTGAGACCCTCTCACACTCCAGTCATGTCCAAACCTGTGTTTCTTCTCTTGGTAAGAAATTAGAGACCAGGGGCTGGTGGGGCTCACTGAGAGCTCAGAATGGTTCTGCTGTGGGGCCTGTGCTGTATCCTTGCTCTCTGCGAGGGCAGAGTCCAGGGCTGCCCCATTCCCCACCGTACCCCCCAGCGCCAGTAGAGCTCCGCACTGTAGCAGGAACCCAGTGGACATTTGCCGAGTGGAACCTTTCCCATCAGTGGGAAGATAGAATAGGGAGTTGCCTGAGGCTGGACAAGGTTCTCCCCTTCTCACCCAACCCAGCAGGGAGAGGCCTAGCTGGAAGACATGAAAACTTTGGCCCACCGAGGCCAGAAGCCAGGAGCAGAGCTCTAGCAACCTCTTCAGGCTAGGGATCTCTACCAAGCCCTGTCCCTCAGAGGAAAGTATTCCTTTGGGGTTCAAAGAAGACTTAACAAACCCTTCCCTTCCCTCCAGCAGCTTTCTACTTGCTAAAAGAGGCAGCAAAATGCCAAGGAAGTGCTTTGCCTCACCGACTCCCTGGGTGGACTTTTGGGAAGGGCTCTGTCCTCCAGGCCTCGGCTTATCCACAAACAGAGTGGGGACTGAAAATTAAGGTCACAAATTCTTATGGCTGCTGAGGCCAGGCAGGTACTGCGGTGGAGGACAGGGGAAGTGGGAAGTGAGGAGCGGAGGTGCCTCCAAGGAGGGTGTTCCAGCCAGGCATCACTGCGCTTGGCCATAGGCCCACAGTTGCTGACCTGCTCATTCAAGGAAGCTTAGAAACGTGCATCGTTATGTGAAACCTCCCAGTTTTAAAACTTTTTTTTTCAAAAAACACTGAGGCCCAGAAAAAAACACATCTGTAGCCCCAGTTTGCAAACTTTGGGCCAAATCCTGGCTGTGCAGATCTTGACTGTCTACCACATTGCCCTTGCAGAAGGTCTGGGTGCCCGCCAAGCACGCCCACAGAGAGGGACCACAGAGGCCTACTCTGGCCCCTTGATTGTACAGGTGGCAAACTGGGCCCAGCCTGAGACCAGAAAACAAGTCGGTCACAAAGCCAGGACCAGAATCTGGGACTGGATTCCCAGCCCTGGTCTTCTCCCCTCCCCGAGCAAGAAGTACTGGGGAGCACAGAGGTTAGAAGCACAGGCTGAGTCACTAAACTGAACAGCCCTGTGACTGGAGCAGGTCACTGAAACTTCCCACACCACGTGTCAGCTTCTCCCATCTGTAAACCCAGATGATAAGAGCACCTTGCTGGGAGGTGTCAGGACACAGTGAGACAAACACTTAAAACTCTTGGCACATGGGGCACCTGGGTGGCTCAGTCGTTAAGCGTCTGCCTTCGGCTCAGGTCATGATCCCGGGGTCCTGGGATCGAGCCCCACATCAGGCTCCCCGCTCTGCGGGAAGCCTGCTTCTCCCTCTCCCATTCCCCCTGCTTGTGTTCCCTCTCTCACTGTATCTCTCTCTGTCAAATAAATAAATAAATAAATCTTAAAAAAAAAAAAAAAACTCTTGGCACAGCAAACACCCACGGTGTTATTAAAATCGTGCAGACCTCGGGGCGCCTGGGTGGCTCAGTTGGTTAAGCGACTGCCTTCGGCTCAGGTCATGATCCTGGAGTCCTGGGATCGAGTCCCGCATCGGGCTCCTTGCTCAGCGAGGAGTCTGCTTCTCCCTCTGACCCTCCCCTCCTCATGCTCTCTCTCTCTCTCATTCTCTCTCTCTCAAATAAATAAATAAATAAAATCTTTGGGGCGCCTGGGTGGCTCAGTCGTTAAGCGTCTGCCTTCGGCTCAGGTCATGATCCCAGGGTCCTGGGATCGAGCCCCGCATCGGGCTCCCTGCTCAGCAGGAGGCCTGCTTCTCCCTCTCCCACTCCCCCTGCTTGTGTTCCCTCTCTCGCGGTGTCTCTCTCTGTCAAATAAATAAAATCTTAAAAAAAAAAAAAAGAAGTCGTGCAGACCTCACCTGGCAGGGCTGGGACACCATCTTGAAAGCAAGGCAGTTTGGGAAAGAAGGGTCGAGAAGCTGCATTCAGAAGTCGCTTTTATTGCATGTCTTGCACCATAATAATCCGAATTGCATCTGAGAGAACAGTGGGAAGCCAGCAGAGAAGTGGCCAGAATGCTTTCATGGTGAGAGGCTGCCTTCAGGGGGAGGTTGAGGTGGGGCAGGGGAGAGGCAGAGAGGTAGAGGTCTCCGGAAGGCCATCCATCCGGGGCTCCTGCTGCCCACCTGCCACCTCCCGCCTGCCTGGCTGCAGGGCTGAAGGGCACAGACCCCGGCAGGGAGAAAGTGCAGGGGGAAGAGATTCGACTTCTCCTTTGCAGCTGGGCAGCCTGGCAAGGCGCTGGTGTGTGCGGCCCACGGCTTCACCCAGAGGGGCCAGGCCCGGCCCAGAGAGGGCGTTCAGGTGTACAGTGGGGGAAAGGGCAGCTCAGCTGTTGGCTGGAGCCTGCGGAGAGAGAGAGAGATGACTTTGAGGCACGAGTGTCACTGCTCCCTGCCTCCAGGACCTCTTCAGGAGCTTGTCCAAGGCGCGCGTGCACGCACACACACACACACACACACCCTGCCACCTACCAGTTCTCCGGGCTCCAGACGGTGCCCAAGCTCTCCATGAGATGGAAAGTGTAGGCATGGCGTGAGCGGTTGGAGAGGTTCTGCTCACTCTTGTGTACCACTTCTCCATGGATTAGGACGAGGTCCCCTGGCAGGAACACACCAGATCAGGAGAACACTTGGCAGGGAGGGACAAAGCCCCTCCTCCCTTGAGTGGTTCCGTGGCCTGTTCATCCCCCAGGGTCAGAGGCTATGCTATTGGCCGGAGGTTCCCCTGGGACCAAGTCCCCTCTGCTGTGACCTGTGCCCTTGGCAAGCCTTGGCAAGGGCATCCCCTTCTGTGGTGTTTGGAGAACCAGGCCAAAGTGTCTGTACTGTGCCAAGCAGCTGGGACCTCGCTATCAAAAGCTGGGCCGGGTGGTGCCTGGGTGGCTCAGTGGTTAAGCGTCTATCTTCAGCTCGGGTCATGATCCCAGGGTCCTGGGATTGAGCCCCACGTTCCTTCTCCCTCTCCCTCTGTCCCTGCCTCCTTCCCCCACTCATGCTCTCTCTCTCTCAAATAAATAAAATCTTAAAAAAAAAAAAAAAAAAAAAGCCAGGCTGGACATCAGGTTGCCCTGTTCTAAAAGGAATGGCCAGCATTCGTTCAGCATCTGCTGTGTGCCCCATCTTGTATGCATCCTCTATCTCACTGACATCCCCACTTTACGTTTGGAAAGACTGAGGCTCAGAGAGGTTCAGTCATTTGCCCAAAGAGACAGCAGAGTCTGAATTCTAGCCTGATCCAGGAGGCCTTCTGGTAAATGGTGCGGCCCTCAGACTTCCCAGTGCCCTTCCAGTCCCACCTCCCATTCTGTGACTTCACGGCCCTCAGGGGAGCTGGGTGGTCGGAGCAAGCACAGACCCACAGGCACGGCCTCGGAGCCTGCCTCCCTGTCCTCTGCATCCCACCTACCTCTCTGCACTGGGGTGGGCACAAAGAGGCTGGCATCCCGGACAGGCTCTGACCCAAGGAAGCTGACGTCAGGCTTCGAGCCAGCAGGGGTCCGGACCAGCCTTCTGGACACCCCACCTGCAGGCCAAGGTGGAGCCTTTAGCCTCTCTTTTATCCGGGCCTCTCTGCCAGTGGGGGGGAGGGATACGAGTGGGCAGGATGAGACAGGTGTCCTTACCAGTATGGGAGCCTGGGATGAACCAGAGGCAGCCATTCTCCAGAGTGGCATCCTCCAGTGCTATCCATATGCCCAGAAGCCGGCCCAGGGGCTCCGTGTGCAGGAAGGTGGAGTCCTGGTGAGGGGCGACTGCAGCAGGCCACCCCAACCCCGGGCATGAGGAACCTGGCCCACCTCACCTTGGCCTTGTTCCCCACTCCCTGGTGCTCTCAGAGCCTTCCCGGGTCAGTTGGAAACCCACCACTTCCTGGCCTGGAGACTCAGGGCACGAGATTTCACCTCTCAAAACTTCCATTTCCTAAACCATGAAGTGGCCTCGGCAGTCACCTACCTCATAGGGTTGCTGGAGGACCCCACGACACAGTGTGTGAAAAGTGCTTAGTACTGGGCTCAACGCTATACGTGCTAAAAAGTGGCTGATGTGGTTTGATTCTAGCCAGGCAACTAAAGCCACCATCCTTTACCAAACAGCCACCAGAAGGTCCACCGGGCAGCGTAAGACTGGGCAGTTGAGTACAAAAGGAGAGGGCGTGCGACTGGCCCCCATCCACATCTTAACTCCCTCCACCCGATGCTGGGGCCCAGCCAGGACGGAGGACCACTGAACAAAGGACTTCAGACTGCAGATGCTAGTCTCACTTCCTTCCTTCCCGGGGAACTGTGTGTTTTCCAAGCCCCAAACTTGAAGAGGGACTTGAACAATCCAGACAGTGTCCAGAGGAAGGTGTCCTAATGGTGGGTGCTCCAAAGAATTTGGAGGAGGACCGACTGAAGGAGGTGGGGGTGCTGAACTCGGGGAGGGGCTGCTCATCCCTTCAGGAGACTGTCCTCGGGCTGAATGGTGGGGAGGAGCAGGCAGTCACAAGGAGGCCGACTTGGGCTCATGCAAGAAAGGAAAGGGCTGGCTGTGAGGGGATGAGCCCCCTGTCACAGGAGGTATTTAAGCGGAAGTAGATAATCGCCCACGAGGGAGGCTCTAAAGGGTATCTGTGCATCCAGAGGGGAACAAAAGTTAGCTTCTCCCTCTTGCCCATGGACACCTCAGCAAGCGCCATCCCTCCCTCCACAGACCTGACAACCACCAATGCCCCAGATCTCCCACCGTGGCCTTTGCTGGCCCCCACAGCGTGTTCTCAGCTCACCTTCGCCACCAAAGTGAGGTTGCTGCAAGAGAGAAGAAGGGCCAGGTGAGGCCAGAGGAAAGTGGATTGGAGCAGGGGCCGCTCTGAGTCTTGTGGGGTGCTCTAACCCAGCCACAGGTTATCCTCTGAGGATTCCACGCCAGCACCCAGCCATGGAGTACCCACCATGTGCCAGGCCCAGGAGGGCTGCAAAGAGAGAAAGCGCCCTGCCCACAGGGTGCTCCAAGTCTGGGCACACGCATGCCTACCGAGAGCAAAGGCAGAAGTGAGGGGCGGCAAGAGTGACTTGGGCCCAGGCCTGAGGCTAAGCCTCTCAGCCCCACAATCAGAGATGGTCCCTCTCTTCCCAGGGGAAAACTGGAAGGCTTCTTGGAGGAGGTGGCACTGAGCTGGGCCTTGAAGCTGGGAGCAGAGCATTTCAATGGCAAAAGAAGGAAGAAGGGAGTCCTAGGGGTCTCCTTCCCTCCTGCCACAAAATTTTAACTGAGCACCAACTAAATGCCAGGTGCCTTACCCAGAGGAGACGGATTTTGCATGTTCTCCTTGCAACTTAGTAATTCCTCAGGGAAGCAGCTTTTGGCCCCATCGTAAGGAGGGGCCTGGTATGAGGACTCTGCCCATATTACAGAGGGTAAACTGAGGCCTGGGGAGGACAGGGGAGCTCACCTTGAAGATGTACATGCTCTGCACGACCACGGGCATCTGGAAGCCCAGACTTTTGGCCAAAGCCTGAAAGGGGACAGAGGTCAAACTTCCAGTCTGCCCTCACTCACATCTGGGCCCCCCCCGACCCTCATCCACACCCCTGCTCACCTGCACCTTGGGGGAGTATGTGACACTCCTGAAGACAGGGTCATAGGCATGCAGAGCTGCAGGACAGAGGCAGGCTGACGAGCCAGCCCCCCCGCCCTCACGCGTCCCTCCGTGCCTGGCCCTGGGTGCCCAGACACGGGCCTTACTATGGCTTCTCACCTATTTGTATGCATTGAGCTTTCTGCTGGTTTATAACCAAGAGATGGGCCCACAACCTTATTCTCAACCTTGCAGCCATCTGGAAACCTCACTCCAGACCTGACTCAAAGGGGCCCCTAACTTGGTAGTAATCTCGGTCCTGCCACTTGCTCTGTGCTGATTCAGGTGACCATTTCTCTCCTCTAAGCCTGTTTCTCCTCTGTACCGCAGAACCAGACACCAGCCCTGCCTCTCAGGCTGCCCCAAGACTCGAAGGGCTAACACATGTGCGGCCTCAAGCCAGGGCCTGGCACCGAATACCTGATCACCTCATTATTATTATTGTCATTACAAAAAGTGAGGGATGGTGGGCACCTGGGTGGCTCAGTCGGTTAAGCATCTGCCTTGGGTTCACGTCATGATCCCGGGGTCCTGGGATCGAGTCCTGCGTCGGGCTCCCTGCCCAGTGGGGAGTCTGGTTCTTCCTCTCTCTCTGCCCCTTCCCCTCTCCGCTCGTGCTCTGTCTCTCAAATAAATAAATAAAATCTTTTTTTTAAAAAGTGAGGGTTGGATATACTTATTGCCACTGAATTGTGTATTTCAAAATGGTTATGATGGCAAATTTTATATGTATTTTACCACAATTCTTTTCAGAAAGCTACCATGATATAACTTCAAGTTTAAAAATGAGTGGGGGCACCTGGGTGGCTCAGTCAGTTGAGCGTCCGTCCGACTCTTGATTTTGACTCAGGTCATGATCTCAGGGTCATGGGATCGAGCCCCTGCATCGGACTCTGCGATCAGTGGGGATTCCGCTTGAGATTCTCTCTCTCCCTCTCCCCCTCCCCCTGCTCGCACACTCTCTCTTTCTCTCTCTCTCTAAATAAATAAAATCTTAAAAAAAAAATAAGCGGTCTGCAAAATAAATTATAACGTATGATCCTGCAGAAAAAAAGATGGCACCCTAGCTTCATGTTGGGGTCTCAGAATATGGGCGATGCTAACATGTTAAGTGCTCCTGAAGGAGGCTCCAGGAAGCAGTGGGAACCAGGAGGCACCCCCATGCCTGAGGCCTGGATCATTACCAGGTCGGGCAGCAGAGGGTCTGCACACGTCCATCTGCATGGGCGGCTAAGGTGGCCCCTCTTCCCAGCGCTGTGGTGGCAGTGTCTAGGATTAGCATCATAAGGCCAGAGGAGCAGGCCCAGAAGGGGAACTGAAGCCAGAAATGCCTTTTGCTGGGCCACTAACTTACGGTGATCCTTGGGTTAGGCCCCAAGGCTCTTCAGGCCTCAGTTTCCCTGTTTCCTTTCCCCCAGGCACCTGCTTACCGTGGCCAATTTTATTGACGGACTTCTCCGGAGGGACCAGGAAATTTCCTGTAGCACAAGGAACAGGTAAAGGCAAATGAGCTGGAGTCCACCTTCCCCTGAGCAACTGGCCTTGGGGGCCCCCCAGCTGTGGGGGGAGACACCCCAGTCCAGCCCTTCCCACACCCCGGGGGCCCCAGCTCCGAACCTTTCTTGTCAAAAACACCTTTCTCGAAGAAGAATCGAATCTTGTCGCCACTGCTCAAGAAATAGTCTTTGTCGCCCTGGCCCTGTGGAGAGGGGATGTCAGAGGGACTGAGAGAGCATCACAGGGTCAGAGCCGGGCCCGGCCAAGAGGGAAGGGGATGCTCATGCTTCCCAACCCCGCAGGGCTACAGACCCCCCTGGCCCTTCTCAAACTCATCCACTGAGGCACAGACCTCAGTGAACAGGAACCCCAAGTGCCTGGAAGTGCAATAGGAAGCCACAAGCATAAAACTTCTTGGAAACCCCTTAATAAGTCACATGATTCTTAGGCTCGGTACGGTGTGATTCTGAACCTAGGCACCGTAATCAAACAGGCATGGTTCCCAGGTAGCCTTGGTCACTTGTTTTACTGCTCGACGCCTGTTTCCTCATCTGTAAAGGGAAATAATAAAAGAACGGACCTCCTCTGGATTGGTGGAGGCTTCGGGCAGAGGCTGAATCTTACAGTAGTTGAGAGCACAGCCCATAGAGCTAGAATACTCGGGTTCAAATCCCAGCTCTGCCAGGGGGTTGCTGTGTGACCACAACCACAGTACTAAACCTCTCTGGGCTTAGTTGCCTCATTAAGTAGAGATGTGATTAAAGGTATCTCATAGGGGGGCGCCTGGGTGGCTCAGTTGGTTAAACGACTGCCTTCGGCTCAGGTCATGATCCTGGAGTCCTGGGATCGAGTCCTGCATCGGGCTCCCTGCTCGGCAGGGAGCCTGCTTCTCCCTCTGACCCTCCCCCTTCTCATGCTCTATCTCATTCTCTCTCTCAAATAAATAAATAAATAAATAAAAATCTTAAAAAAAAAAAATTTAAAAAAAGGTATCTCATAGGGCATTGTAGAGATTTTGAATTGGTATATACATAAAGCACCAGAACAGTCCTTGGAATGTGGAAAGTGCCGCGTGAATATCTGCTTTTATCATCATCATTACTGCTGTTGCTAAACAGAAAACAGCCAGGGCACGGCTAAATGCTTGATGAATATAACCTATTACTCATCTTTTTCTGTTTTCTCAATAACCTTTCCTTGTTAATTTTAATATCATGTTTTATGTTTCTTTTTTTAAAAGATTTATTTATTTTAGAGAGAGAGAGGCGCACGCTGGGGGAGGAAAGGCAGAGGGAGAGGGAGAGAGAATCTCAAGCAGACACCCTGCTGGGCACAGAGCCCGACGTGGGGCTCGATCTCACAACCCTGAGATCACAACCTGAGCCAAAACCAAGAGTCGAAGGCTTAACTGACTGCACCACCCAGGCGCCCCCATGGTTTACATTTCTTAGCGTCATATGAAAGTGACGCTTCAGGAAGATGCCCAATGTTTTCCCTGTGGTTTTAGCTGCCCTTGGCTACCGTCATGTAGCACAATCTCCCTACCTTCCTGTGTGGTCACACGAATGGAGCTGAGGGTGCTGACCCCCCAAGTTCTCCAGGTGGCACTGCCCCCTGGCTCCCTCACACGTGCACACCTGCTCTCACGTGTGCCTCGGGGTCTGTGGTGACCTGCCGGGCCCTTTCACCACACTTCCCACTGAAAACTATACGTTTGTTTTCCAACATTCATAGCTGTTCTGTATCAGGATCAGGGTGAGGGAAACAAATCAGGGAAGCATAACTGATAATAATAATATTAAAGATAATGAAGCTGGGGCGCCTGGATGGCTCAGTCATTAAGTGTCCGACTTTTGATCTCAGCTCAGGTCTTGATCTCAGGGTTGTGAGTTCAGGCCCCACGCTGGGCTCCATGCTGGGCGTGGAGCCTACTTAGAAAATAATAATAATAATTAAAGATAATGAAGCTAAACATGTCAAAGATTCTACTTGACTCCTTAATTCACAAGGGAACCAGTAAAATGTTCAAAGAATTCCAAGAATGCTGAAATGAATTTGCAGATGGATGGGACACGGATCGATCTACAAACGATAATTGCATTCTGCTGGACCCACTTCATACCCACTTCTGTGGACATTATTATCAGTTTTTTTTTTAATTTTTTTAAATTTTTAAGTGATCTCTACACCCAACATGGGGCTCGAACTCACGACCCCAACATCGAGTGTCACATTCTCTACTGACTGAGCCAGCCAGGCTCCCCTGTTATTATCAGTTCTATACAACTTACAGAGTCAGAAAATAACTCAAAGTAAGCTGGAAGGGGATGGGACACCCACTGATCTTTTTCCTTTTTTTTTTTTAAGATTTTATTTAATTATTTGAAAGAGAGAGAGCACACGCTCATGCATGTGCGCACATGGGTGGGGGGAGGAGCAGAGAGAGAGGGACAAGCAGACTCCCCCCTGAGCAGGGAGGCTGACACAGGGCCCGATCCCAGGACTCTGAGATCAGGACCCTGAGATCAGGACCTCGAGGGTTAGGCTTAACTGAGCCACCCAGGTGCCCCTGATCTTTTTCCTTTTAATGCCCATTTCAAAGTCTTAATATCAGTGGTGAATATTGAGGGTTTACCGAGTACCAGGCACTGTGCTGAGCTCTTTGCAAGCATTATAAACCAAGACACTTTATTCTCCCATTCTCCACCCAACCCTTCACTGGTCTCTGGAACATTCTCAGAAGGCAGCTTGGAGGGCACTAGATTGGCCCCCCTCACTCTTTGGGGCCTTGAGTGACCTGTATCTAGGCACTGGACCCCCTTCTCTGCTGTCCCCACCTAGAAGGCGGGAGTGAGGGCAAATGAAACCCACTATTTGGAGGAAATTATTCTGTAACCCTTAGTCCTACTGAAGTGCCCCAGCCGCGCTCTCCTGGTTCCGTCTTCTGGCCATTGTAATTCCCTTTATGACCACCAGATGGCAGGAGCGCCACAGCATGAAGGAGCTGTATTAGCAGGCAGAGACCGCAGCTTTGGCTCAGGGGCCACGCCACAAACAGGCTCCTTTTTCCGTTTTTCTTTTCTCTTTCTCTCTCTCTCTCTTTCTTTCTTTCTTTCTCTTTCTTTCTTTCTTTCTTTCTTTCTTTCTTTCTTTCTTTCTTTCTTTCTTTCTTTCTTTCTTTCCTTCTTTTCTTTCTTTCTTTCTTTCCTTCCTTCCTTCTTTCCTTCTTTCCTTCCTTCCTTCCTTCCTTTTTCTTTCTTTCTGATTGTATTTATTTATTTAAGAGAGAGCAAAAGCGAGAGGGCTCACATAGGGAGAGGAAGAAGCAGACTCCCCGCTGAGCAGAGAGCCCGATGCCTGGGACCATGACCTGAGCTGGAGGCAGACGCTTCATCAACTGAGCCACCCAGGCGCCCCCACAGACAGGCTCCTGAAGGGTTAAGTGAACTGTGTGGGAGAACCCCGAGTCTCAACTTACCCCATGTCAAACTGTATTGAGTCCTATTAAGTCATGAGGGGTGGGGGTGGAGAAGCTGTGTTTCTAGTCTCACTGGCGGATAAGGCTGACACAGGGCGGGGTCCATCAGAATCACTTGTCTCATTCTGGATTGCTGGCCACAAAAGAGGCCCTTGGGGCAGGAGAACCACTAAGGAAGTACAGCAGAGCCGTGAACAGCCGATCTGGGTTCAAATCCCCATTCTACCAATTACTAACCACAGGGTGTGGGGCAAGTGAGCCAGGCCTCATTTTCCCCAGCTGTCAAATGGGGGTAATAACACCAACCTTATAAATCCATAGTGAGGGGATGCCTGGGTGGCTCAGTCATTAAGCGTCTGCCTTCGGCTCAGGTCATGATCCCAGGGGTCTGGGATCGAGCCCCGCATCGGGCTCCCTGCTCGGCAAGAAGCCTGCTTCTCCCTCTCCCACTCCCCCTGCTTGTGTTCCTGCTCTCGCTCGCTCTCTCTCTCTCTCTCTGTCAAATAAATAAATAAAATCTTTAAAAAAAAAAAAAATCCATAGTGAGGAGCGAAGGAAATACGCAGATAAGGCACTTAGCCTGGCACAGGGAGGGCTCAGGGCCTGATTTGTTACCAGAACGAGCCCATGGGCCTCGGGGCCCTCCCTTCCAGGCTGCTGCTCTGGCTGGGGACTGAGCCCCCCCATCAAAGACCAGATCCCATTCTCACCTGCCCCAGGCACTTACTTTGGTTCCCAGCTGCTCATCTTCCCGGGTGGAAAATTCTATGCGGCAGTGGGCAGGGACATCCATGGCAGCCACTAGCTCGCCAATCCTCTGTTGCATGGCGGCACATTCATCTGCAGATAAAAATCCTTCCAGCACCAGGAATCCATCCTCCTGAAACTGAAGGCAAGAAGAAAACTCAGGCTTCCCCCTTTCACACGCTGTTTATGAGGACTGACCTGACCCCTCCCTGAAACCCAAAGCTGTGTGAGGGCAGGACCAAGTGTCCTGTTCATTGCTCTGTCTCCCCCACACGCACCCCCACCCCAGCCACGGTGTCTGGAACCCAGTGAGGAGCAGCCAATATTGGTTGCTTGAATGAAGGGAGGAGGAAGGGGAGGTGCCCCCCCATTCTTCCCCTCCAGTGGGCTTGGGTCACATGGGAATACAACCTCATTCATTTATTCAACTACAACTCATTGAGCATCTACTGTGTACCAGCATGGTTTTAGGGGCTGGAGCTACAGTAATGAGGAAGCCTGCCGTCCTGGAGCTTACAGTCTAGCAACGGAGGCTGACATCAAACAAACCAGCGTGCAGAGAGATGTGCTGTCACAAACCGCTGCATGCAAGGAGGGGGAGGGCAGATTCAAGAGCTAAAGGCAGAGGTGTCTAATGTAAACCAGATGGGGGGACAGAGGAGTCTCAGGGCAGCAGCTCTGACATTTGGTATTTAAAGGGGCATTTAAAGGGGACCAGCAGGGCCGTCTGGGTGGCTCAGTTGGTTAAGTGGCTGCCTTTGGCTCAGGTCATGATCTCCAGGTCCTGGGATCCAGTGCCATATCAGGTTCCCTGTTCAGCGGGGAGTCTGCTTGTCCCTCTCCCTCTGCCCCTCCCCCTGCTCGTGCTTTCTCTCTCTCGCGTGCGCGCGCGCGAATAAATAAAATCTTTTTTTTTTTTTAAGATTTTATTTATTTGACAGAGAGAGACACAGTGAGAGAGGGAACACAAGCAGGGGGAGTGGGAGAGGGAGAAAGAGGCCTCCCGCAGAGCAGGGAACCCGATGCAGGGCTCGATCCCAGGACCCTGGGATCATGACTTGAGCTGAAGGCAGACGCTTAACGACTGAGCCACCCAGGTGCCCCTAAATAAAATCTTTTAAAAAAATAAAGGGGACCAGCAGGATAATGAGAGTTGGAGACAAGGATGAAAATTCTAGACCAAGGGAGCAGGATGTGTGAAGTCCCTAAGCATGGGAGGGACACAAGGAATTGGGGCCAGATGGAGCAAAGTGAGGGTGGGGGCAGAAGGGAGGCAGGGGGGGGGCAGGCCAGGCAAGGAGGTGGGCTTTGTCCTGAATGCAGCGCACAGCCGGACAGGTTAAAACAGTGAGCTTATTCTGATTTGCCTCCAGACCTCTTATTCTGTGGCTATTGAGAGGCATGAGGAGAGAGAACATCTACATGTTTGCTTGCAGACCATTATAAAATCTTAGCATTGGAAGTCACCTCTTGAACCCACTGTGAAGTATCTGATTCCCAATTACTGACTCCCCCCCACTCCCTCCCTCACTCCCCCATGGATGCCCAGTTCTGGCTTCCACACGTGGGAAGTTGGGACATTCATGTTCACCCACTGTGGTCCCTTTGGTCTCTGGACAGCTCTGCGTGACAGATACTTAATCCTCGGGGCGCCTGGGTGGCTCAAGTCATGATCGAGGGCTCCTGGGATGGAGCCCCACTCGGGCTCCCTGCTCAGCGGGGAGTCTGCTTCTCCCTCTCCCCTCTGCCTCTCTCCCTGCTTATGCTCATTCTCGCTCTCTCTAATAAATAAATAAAATCTTTCTTTAAAAAAAAAACTTAATCCTCACATCAGTATCAAGCTGAACATTTCCTCCTTGGGAACTAGGTCACCCACAGCAAACTGTGTGTACCCGTGACCCAGCAGACACACTGAGGCAAGAACTTGTTGAGGTAAAAACTTGGGGGCTCAGCAAATAAGGGAGCAAAGATGTACTAATGGGGATATTCACTGAGGCTGGTTGAACGAGAGCAATAAATCGGAAACAACCTAAATGCTCAGCACAAGGAGAGTCATTCAACAAAGTATGTTTGATCTATCTGGAGCACAACACAGCTGATAAAAATCATGTGGTAGAAAAATATTTACTGACATGGACATATGTGCCTGATACACTGTGAGATGGGGAAAAAAAAAAAAAAAAGCTGAACACAGATTAATATTTTAGCCAGTGCAAGATCTTGGGCAGCCCCCTTCCCTCTTTGGCCCTCAGACCATCAAGTCAGAGAAACAGTACTTCCTCCTTTATAAAACGCTGGGCAAACACTCATAAGAAGTAGCTATGGTGATCGACTTTTAAAGATTCTAGGGCTGTCTACCAAAATACTAAGTCTCAGGGTGGCAAATTATGGGTAGTTTTTCATTTTCTTCTTCGAGATTTTTCTGTATTTTTTTTTAAGATTGATTGATTGATTGATTGATTCATTTGAGACACAGAGATACAGAGAGAGAGAGAGAAAGCATGAGCAGGGAGAGAGGTAGAGGGAGAGGGAGAAGCAGGCTCCCCGCTGAGCCAGGAGCCCGATGTGGGGCTGGATCCCAGGACCCCGACATCATGACCTGAGCCGAAGGCAGACGCTTAACCATCTGAGCCACCCAGGTGCCCCAGCATTTTCTTCTTGTCATCAGGAACAAACAAGGGTCGCGTTTTTTAAGTCTGTGTCACTCTTAATTCCCAAGCGTTAGCCTTTCGTGTTTGACCGCTGGTGGGACCTGGCCGCCCTCGCCGGGCTCGGGGCGGGGGCGGGGCGATCCGCCCCTCGTTGACCCCGCCCCATCCCGGGCCCTGGCTCCTCCCCCCACCCCATCCCACCCCCGCCCGCGTTCCCCTCCTCTTGCCCTCTTTGCTCTCAGGGCCCACTCCTGGGCCTGGACTGGCCCATCTTTACTTTTTGTTTTTGTTTTAGATTTTTGTTTATTTGCGAGAGAGTGCGAGTGCGCCGGATCCGGAGCAGGGCGGGCAGGCAGAGGCAGAGGGAGAAGCGGACTCCCTGCTGAGCAGGGAGCCCGGTGCGGCGCTCAATTCCAGGACCCGGAAATCATGAGCGGAGCCAAAGGCAGACGCTCAACCGACTGAGCCACCCAGGCGCACCTGATCTTTACTCTTTATTCTGGTTTCCGTCACACATTCCCACCTCACCCCGGACCTGTGGCCCTGACGGCCCCCGGCTCTGTGTGCAGAAGTTAGGGGTAGTGGTTGGACACTGACCACTCTGGGTTTCAGTTTCCTCTTCTGAAAAATGGCAGGGGGTCAGGTTGAGTTTCCCAGGGTCTACTAGAGGCGCGGAGGCACCCCCAACTCTTACCTGACCCTCTCGGACCCCCACCCCACATGACCCTACCTTCTGGAGCTGGGAGGGGCTCGGGCAGGCCATGAGGATGAGACTCTGGGTGCTGCGCTGCTGGAGGCCAGAGAGGAGAAAATACAAATTAGAGTATGAAGTTCAAGTTCGGAAGTTCCTAGTACGGTGGGGGTGCAGAGTAGCTGGAGCCTGGGAGGCCCAGGAGGACTTAACCCTTGCCTACCCTGACGAAACCCAATCCCAGCCCCCAGCCCCCCCTCCCCCAAGCACACACATCAGCCTGAATTACCCCCCGCCCCCATCACTTCTGTGCCTGGATGGAGCCCTTGCCTCTGACCCAGCTCAATACCCTGGGTCCATCCCCCAGTTAATCCAGGATTAGCCCTTTCCAATCTCCTTCATGGTTTTTAATGACTCCCTCCCAGTTGCTTTGCAGAAACCACCCCCTTCTGGCTGCTAACCAGGTGCCTAGAAATTGTATTCCAGGAGTGTCAGTTGAAAGAAGCTGGGTAGGCAGGAGGATCCCGGAGTCCCAGTCCAGGCACCCTGACTCACTGTGACCTCTGATGAATGTCAGACCCTCTCTGTTTTTTAGTATATGTACTGCTGAAGCAAGCACAAATGTCAGCCCCTCTCTGGACTTCACACGTGGATTAGAAAGTCCCCAGGCCACCAGCATCAATGTGGGGTGGGGGTGGGGGGATACACATCAGACGGGTCAGACTGGGCCAAGTGGCTTTGTGTTCCAAAGGTGGAAAAGGTCCCTCAGAGAATTGTCTGGGCCTCTCCCAGCTCTGATCCCCTGAAACTCTGTCAGCCTTGGGAGGATTAGGGAAAGATGGAAGGGTCAGCCTACAGCTCAGAGGAAGACAGCAGGTAAAGGGATATCTTAGAGGCGAAGGGGCTAGGGGCACCTAGTTGGCTCAGGTGGAAGAGCATATGACTCTTGATTTCTGGGTCCTGAGTTCAATCCCCACATTGGGTGCAGAGATTACTTAAATAAATAAATCTAAAAAGAAAAAGAAAGAGGAAGAGGATATAGATGGGGGCTTGGGTCTCCAGAATGAGGGAGGGAGAAACCCTGGTTCCTGTTCCCCACCCACCCCCCAGGCCCAAGATGTTGGGTGTCTCAAATACAGCTGGCACAGTGGACACCACCAGCCAGGACAGAAGCCACCGGCCCTGCTCAGCAGCTGATGGGGCCATTTTGGCTGTAGCTCCTGAAGACTGGCCCCTGGCCTTTCCCGGAATGACATTTTTCTGAATGGCGAAGGGACAGAATGTCTTGGGAGTGAGCGTGGGGACATGAGCTCAGCCTTCAGGAGCCTTGGCCCCAAGTCAAGTCGTGTTTTCTGGGCCCACTGCCCTGGGAGTGACTGCTCGGTGACGATTCCCGAGGGCCAGGGAGGGGGGTGGCCAGGCTCCTGAGAATGGAGAAGAGGTTCTGAGGAGCTCAGTTGGGGGAGAAGAGCAGGCAGAAGACAAACGATGCAGGAAATACAGTGAGACTAAGCTCACTTGAGGCAAGGCCCGTTCCCAGCTGTCCTGGCCCCATCTGATGAAACTGCCCAACAAATACAGGGACACCTACCATGTGTCAGGGGCACAGCGAGGGTCCCATCATGCTGGGCTAGCAGCTCCCCTGGGAACCCCCACCAAAGGCTTGTAGTGGAGGCTTAGTGAGGCAGACTGGGTTTGAGTCCAGGCCTGGGCCTTGCTTTCCCCATCTGTAGTTTGGGGATAACCTCTCATAAGGAGGAAGAGGAATGCTTTACTGCCTATAAAGAGCTTGGCACAGGGCCTAGCACTTACTACAAGTGCCTATCAGCTGTTCACCAAAAGTTAGCTGGGGCTGTTCTGGGTGAAATGTGAGGGTATTTTGATTTTTGAACTTTCCCGTTTTCCAAACTGCTCTTGTCATCAGTGGAAAGACTATACCACTGAGGTTGGGAGTGGACAGCCCTGGCAGGTCCAGATGGGAGGAGGGGCTAAGCCTCCGAGATTTGCTCATGCATCCTGCTCAGGCTTTGGGAGGTGGGTTTGCATTGTGTTTTTTTTTTCCCCCAAAAGCTAACCAGCTCCAGATCCAACACTCCTGCTGCTGGTGGCACCGGGCAGCCCCAAGACTGGGGAGGGGAGTGGGAGTTGGTGGGGGGGGTACCAGACCAGACAGGAGGGGAGGACCTCCACTGTGGAGACCCAGGAGGGTCTCAGAGGGGATCACAGCCCAGCTGCTCAGCCCTGAGGTCACCTGGAGGGGTCACAGTCCCATGGAGGGAGGAAGGACAGACTCTGGCCTGTTCCAGAGGAGATGCCCAAGCAGCAGCTAAGGCCTAATCACTGAGGCGGAGGTCAGACACAATGGCCTTTCTTCTTCACCAAAAGCCCCCTGCCCCTGGGTCCACATGGCAGACCAGCGCAAACCTCACAGGTCCAGGAGGAGGATATCAGTTATTGGGCATTAAAAGCCAACTATGTGCCAACTAAAAGGCAACTTCAAGTAAGCCTCAGAACAGTCCTGCAAGGTTGCCGATACCAGCCTGATGTTACAAACAAGGAAACTGTGCTTCCACATCAGATAAATGGCAGGGCTACGATTTGAAGGCAGCTCTGCCCATCGCCCTGAGCCTCTGCAATGGACCCCAGCACCTTCAGCAGGCTCCCAAAGGGGCTAGGAGCCGGCTCCCCCACAGCGACTCTCAGCCCCACCTCTGCAGAGCCCGGGGGAATGGCTGCTGGGAATTACGAGGGACCTATGAGAGCATAGAGTGGAAACGCCCGTTGCACAGATGGGGATATGGAGGCCGTAGGAGGGACGGGGTCAGCCCAGCTTCATGCAGGGAATAACAGAACTGGGACAAGAATGGAGACTACTGGCTCCCATTCCAGTGTCCCCCTCCCCACCCCGGCCCCCCCACCCATCAAAGCTCATGAAGGCTCAAACCACAGGTGACCAGGCCAGCGGCAGGACCCCCGGCCCATGCCACGCCTGACATGCAGCAGGCGCTCTGTCCAGCCCACGCCCAGTAGCGGCCTCCAAAGGGCAGGGAGAGGGGCAGTTACCCACCTTCTAGATGCCCATCAGTGGCCATTCAACAAACCAGTCCACAGGGCCCAGCGGGACCCAGAGAGCTGAGGGTAGGGTCCCCCGCACGACACGGAGATCTCCAAAGGCTACTTTCTGTTATAGATTTATTTGATATTTGAACGGAGTCTACAAGTTCAGACCCTCATGTAACGGATTGCTTCATGGTTGTCAAAGGCTAGTGTGCATTATTTCTGAGGATTACATCTGCTGACATGACGCAGAAAACACAAATGGACAGACAAATGGACATAATCGTTAAGACAAGAGACGCTAAAACGTGCCTTAGTGTCCAAGTGATTGATCTAAGGCGGGGAACCCTTCTAATGCAGGGACCCCCTGACTGATCTAAAGTGAGGTGGCTTCTTGCCACCAGGCGCCGAGAGGGCTGTGTGTGCCTGGCGCCTGGGACAGAAATTGGAAACCCAAACCTGGGGAGCCTGCCCCTCCCAGCGGCGACCTCCCCACCCATGACCCCGCCTCCAAGTGTCTCTTCTGAAGGACCAGGCGGTGACAGGGCTGATGTCAGTGGTTGAGGCTAGGGGTGTCACTGGGCAAACTCATGACACATGAGGTGGGAAAGCAGAGTCCGGGCGAGGTAGCTCCTCCTGGCTCCTTAACACTATGACGAGGGACGGATGGGGAGGATGGAGCACCGTTCATCCGGGGATTAGCCAACCCGAGTCTCCTCCTTTCTTGGCAGCTCCAGAACATTCCCTTTGGCCAACAGCCACAGAAATGAGTGCCTGCCAAGACACATGGAGGAAAAAGAAAACAAGACACCAAAAACAAAACAAAACAAAACAAAAAACCCCTCCCTGGAGAGGAGAGGAAAAAACAGAACTCCTGGACCAAGGTCACACCAGACTCAAAGACATCCTGCAGCCCGCACCCCGGGGGGGGGAAGGAAACAGTTCAGTGTCTTGCTGCTCTGCTCAAGGGAAGCTGCCGTCCTGCCCTGAGACCCCAACTCACTGGCCTTCACTGTCTTTTGTGGGGTTTTTTTTAGAGTTTTTTTTTTTCTTTTTAATACCCAAACCATCCGTTTTCAAAGCTTTAAAAAAAAGTTCTTTTTTTTCTTTTTACTTAAAAAAAAAAAAAAATCTAAAACTGATGAGACCAGCCCCAGGCCTGGCCTTTCCACCTGGCGGCCTGCTGTCCCCTGGGCCACACCGCCAGAGCCCAGCCCAGCACCCCCGGGGCAACTGTCACGGCTGGTTCTCCCTGGGCCCCTCTGCTCCAGTCTGGGTGGTACTGCCAGGAGCATCACCAAAAAAGGAAAAGGGAAACTGCCCACCCTTCCTTACATACCCCCGATCGGAGCTGAACTTTGTTGGGAATGTGTAAGTTCTCCGGAGGGAGGGGATGCGAAGTGGAGAAAAATAAATACCAAGAGCTAAGTGGGCGTCCCCGGGCCTCTGGCATCAGCTCAGCCTCTAGGGCAGAGATGGCCTCCAGGGGGGAGGCCCTGATTGTCCAAATACTGCGCTCTAAGACACAGGTCTCTGCTCTCCCCGACAGGCGCCCGCCCTGGGGGGGCACGAGTCTCAGAAGGAGGAAAGGGGCCAGCCCCTCAGGTACTGTCCCGTGGCCACAGCCCAGCCAACATCCAGCCCTAGGCTCCTGCCCTGGCTGAGGCCTGGCTGGTCGTCCCTGGGTGTCTGGGTCCCTGGGCCCTGAGGACTCCTCAGCGACCCGCTGCTCAGCTGTCCGCCGGCGCTCAGGCCTGCTCCTTGTCGGCCCTCCACAGCCGCTCCTTCACCTCGGGTGGCAACGTGTTAAACAGGTCCTCCTCCACCACCAGGCCGCTGCGCTTGAGCAACGGACACTCGCCCAGCTCCACGGGCAGGCACTCCAGCCGGTTGCCCCGCAGCTCGATCTGGGTCAGGTTGGTCAGCTCGCCCACCCGTGAGGGCAGTGACTGCAGCACGTTGTTGCCCAGGTGCAGGGCCCTCAGCTTCCGGCACTGGAAGAGTTCCGGGGGCAGCGCCTCGATCTGGAAGGGCAGGAGCAGAGGGCCAGAGTGAGGGGCACAGCTCAGATCTGGGGCCTTGGCCGAGGCTTCTCCCCGCCCCCCACCCCCACCCCTGTCCCAGGCACCAGCATCCCCTCTGAAGCCCATTTCAGCTCCCTGGGCCCAGGACGCAGCACCGTCTGGCCTAAAGCCTGGCTGACCTCCACCTGTATGGGAAGTCTCAGCTCCGCAGTCACTTTCTCCGGGAAGCTTTCCCTGACCTCCTGGGTAAACTAGGGCGCCCATGGCCCCTGGCGTCACCGACCCC